TAACGAGCCTCATCTGTCCGAGGGTTTAGCAACAATGAGCTTTACCGACTCGACCACGCCGACCCCTATGATGCTAATGATAATGATGATTATTTTTGGTTTAGAGCGGACGTTATTTTTATGAAGTTGTCGCTCCGGATTTACGAAACATAACATATCCTCGACTGAATGATTAATACATTTTTGTGTGTGTTTGACAGTTTGTAACATTTTAGTCAGATTAATAACTTTAAAAAAATAATCCTACATCAACAATTTTATTTCCCAGTTTGTAAAAGGTTTGTTTCGTTGTTGACTCCGGTAAAAATTTCTTTTCCCAAGTTCCGTTGAAGAAGATTGCACTGAGTAGCATCAGCTGTGTGTCCATGCTTATACTTCCTGTAAGAGAAAAAGAAAACCCAAGAAAAAAATACAGTTGAAGTTAAAACATTTTAAAATCTAACATACACCTACAGAGTCCTGTTTATTTCCTTGCTTTTAACATATTTTCCAGATGCAGTTAATATTTTTGCCTCTCATGCCATTTTAACAATTACTTATTTCGATTCTTTTTATTTTTTTTTATTTTTTGTGTGCATTAAACACCTAAAAAAGCAGTAATAGCCTATATATATATATATATATATATATATATATATATATATATATATATATATATATATATATATATATATATATATATATATATATATATATAAACATATATATATACATACATACATACATATATACATACATATACATATATATACATATATAAATAAATAAATATATATATATATATATATATATATATATATATATATATATATATAAATTATGAAATTATGCATAATATCCTTTATAAATTGCGAATGTACATTTATAAATAATTAAAATACGAATTAATTTGGTTCCAATATGAATAAAACTTAAGACCAGACACCATGTATCTACCTTTTGGAACCATATCTTGGATCAGGTCCTCTGTAGCGTTGGCAATGAAGTCGTTGATGGGTTTTTCAGGTCCGCCCGGGTAGGCGAAGTTGAGATGGTCAAACATGGCGAAGAAATCTTTCTTGACCATCGCCTGGTAGGTTGGCTTGATGGTCAGGGAGGGGTTGGTGTACACAGCATTGGCGATGCGGATGTCAACGAATGGTACACTGTTCAGCTGGTGGAGATGAAGGTTGTTAAGTGAAGTATGGGATGGCGTGGTCTAGCGGTAGAGCGTAGACTGCTAAACCGAAAGTCTCGAGTTCAAACATACAAGTATATAGGAATATATGAATATGTGTTGATGATGATGGTGATAATGGAAACGATGATTATGCTGATGATGGTGATAGTGAAAACGACGATGATAAGCGGAAAAAATTGAACGTTGGTGATAATGAAAATGATCATAGTGATTCTGGTAACGATGCTGCTAATGATGCTGATGGCGATAACGATGATAGTCAAAACGATGATGACTATGGTAATACTAATAACGGTAAGAAAGAATTTTATATATGGTAAAAGATGACGATCATGGTAATGACGGCGTGAAACTTATCGACCAGTTAGCAAAAAAAAAATGGGGGGGGGGGGAACAATAACCCTCAACCTTAGGTTTTAACACACAGCTTCAACTTCTAAACGTGAGTACCTCTTGAGTGAGCATCCTGTAGTCGGCGTTGGGCCAGACCCAGTGTGTGTTGTAGCCCAGTGTCTTCAGCATCTGTGAGCGGGTCTCGCCCTTTGCACCCAGCATCGCCATAGACATGGCTGAGTGGATGCTGACATGGGACAAGAGAGGCGTCAGTTGTCAGCGGTTAGTGGGTTGTAGTGTTGTAGATAGGTTAAGTCAGGACAGGTTGGTGTGTTGGTTCTAGCCCAGGTGTGTAGGTTTCTAGACCAGGTGTGTAGGTTCTAGCCCAGTAGGTTCTAGCCCATAAGGTTCTAGCAAAGGTGTGTAGGTTCTAGCCATATAGGTTCTAGCCCAGTAGGTTCTAGCCCAGTAGGTTCTAGCCCAGGTGCGTAGGTTCTAGCCCAGGTGTGTAGGTTCTAGCCCAGTAGGTTCTAGCCCAGGTATGTAGGTTCTAGCCCAGGTGCGTAGGTTCTAGCCCAGGTGTGTAGGTTCTAGCCCAGTAGGTTCTAGCCCAGGTGTGTAGGTTCTAGCCCAGGTGTGTAGGTTCTAGCCCAGGTGTGTAGGTTCTAGCCCAGGTGTGTAGGTTCTAGCCCAGTAGGTTCTAGCCCAGGTGTGTAGGTTCTAACCCAGGTGTGTAGGTTCTAACCCAGGTGTGTAGGTTCTAACCCAGTAGGTTCTAGCCCAGGTGTGTAGGTTCTAGCCCAGGTGTGTAGGTTCTAACCCAGGTGTGTAGGTTCTAACCCAGGTATGTAAGTTTAACCCAGGTGTGTAGGTTCTAACCCAGGTGTGTAGGTTCTAACCCAGGTATGTAGGTTCTAGCCCAGGTGTGTAGGTTCTAACCCAGGTATGTAAGTTTAACCCAGGTGTGTAGGTTCTAACCCAGGTGTGTAGGTTCTAACCCAGGTATGTAGGTTCTAGCCCAGGTGTGTAGGTTCTAACCCAGGTGTGTAGGTTCTAACCCAGGTATGTAAGTTTAACCCAGGTGTGTAGGTTCTAACCCAGGTGTGTAGGTTCTAACCCAGGTATGTAGGTTCTAGTCCAGTTGTGTAGGTTCTAGCCCAAGTGTGTAAGTTTAACCCAGGTGTGTAGGTTCTAGCCCAGGTGTGTAAGTTTAACCCAGGTGTGTAGGTTCTAACCCAGGTGTGTAGGTTCTAACCCAGGTATGTAGGTTCTAGCCCAGGTGTGTAGGTTCTAGCCCAAGTGTTTAGGTTCGAACCCAGGTGTGTAAGTTTAACCCAGGTGTGTAGGTTCTAACCCAGGTGTGTAGGTTCTAACCCAGGTATGTAGGTTCTAGCCTACGTGTGTAGGTTCTAGTCCAGTTGTGTAGGTTCTAGCCTACGTGTGTAGGTTCTAGCCCAGGTGTGTAGGTTCTAGCCCAGGTATGTAGGTTCTAGCCCAGGTGTGTAGGTTCTAGCCCAGGTGTATAGGTTCTAGCCCAGGTGTGTAAGTTCTAACCCAGGTGTGTAGGTTCTAGCCCAGTAGGTTCTAGCCCAGTAGGTTCTAGCCCAGGTGTGTAGGTTCTAGCCCAGGTGTATAGGTTCTAGCCCAGGTGTGTAAGTTCTAACCCAGGTGTGTAGGTTCTAGCCCAGGTGTGTAGGTTCTAGCCCAGGTGTGTAAGTTCTAACCCAGGTGTGTAGGTTCTAGCCCAGGTGTGTAGGTTCTAGCCCAGGTGTGTAGGTTCTAGCCCAGTAGGTTCTAGCCCAGTAGGTTCTAGCCCAGTAGGTTCTAGCCCAGGTGTGTAGGTTCTAGCCCAGGTGTGTAGGTCCTAGCCCAGTAGGTTCTAGCCCAGTAGATTCTAGCCCAGGTGTTTAGGTTCTAGCCCAGGTGTTTAGGTTCTAGCCCAGTAGGTTCTAGCTCAAGTGTGTAGGTTCTAGCTCAGTAGGTTCTAGCCCAGGTGTGTATGTTCTAGCCCAGTAGGTTCTAGCCCAGTAGGTTCTAGCTCATTTGTGTAGGTTCTAGCCCAGGTGTGTAGGTTCTAGCCCAGGTGTGTAGGTTCGAGCCCAGGTGTGTAAGTTTAACCCAGGTGTGTAGGTTCTAACCCAGGTATGTAGGTTCTAGCCCAGGTGTGTAGGTTCTAGCCCAGGTGTGTAGGTTCTAGCCCAGGTGTGTAGGTTCTAGCCCAGGTGTGTAGGTTCTAGCCCAGGTGTGTAGGTTCTAGCCCAGGTGTGTAGGTTCTAGCCCAGGTATGTAAGTTCTAACCCTGGTGTGTAGGTTCTAACCCAGGTATGTAAGTTCTAACCCTGGTGTGTAGGTTCTAACCCAGGTGCGGGGGTTCTAGCCCAAGTTGATCCGTAGTTGGGACTTAGTCTTAATGGTATTCGTCCCTACTTCCGGACTAATATACACATTTACATTTACAACGAGATTGTACATGTGAAAATATAATGTGCACATAAATCTGTACCTAAACCATCACATTCACATACATCTACACGTACACATCTCCACTCGCACACACACACACACACACACACACACACACACAGTAGGACTCACCGACAAACATCTGCACACACCTACTCACATCTACATCCACACATCTCCACACCTACCCAGATACACAGCACATACCCACACCCATCACCCACAAACCTACTCCCACTCAAACTAACTCATACAAACCACACACTGATCCCCACTCACATACACCTGCCCATACCCACACATCTACCCACACATCTGCACACACCCACACATAGTCTTACCTAAAGGGTGAGTACACAACATTCTCCTTATCTAAAGCAACTCTTTGATACAGATGCTGCGAAAAGACTGTTGCATCCCTACTTAGTGTCTTTATCTGACCCACGGCCAAATGCCCAGTGGCCGATAAAAGGAGAAACGCCAGGAACAACATTGCGTCTTTTCTAGCAGTAAAGACAAATCAAGAACTAGAACTGAGTTAATTCAACTGTCACGGGAAAACATAGTTAACTCCCTTTTTAATATTTTCTAGTTTAATTTAGCGGAAAAAAAGTGATTATAATAACATTTAAAAAAAGTAAAGTACATCTTCTGTATTATTTCTAAAACGTGATTTCATTAAATAGCTGTTATTGTTTCTCTTTAACAGAGAAACATCCTTCTATGAATATTTTGACCTTTTCCATTTCTTAAAGCTGTGTAAAATTAAATAAACAAATACATACATACAATATTTTCCTATAAAAATTCTTTAATGTTAAAATGAACACGAAAATTATATTATTTTAAGGCAATGCAAGCAAAAAGTCTTAAAATTACATACCTTAGCTGCAACAAACTAGTTACTACCCCTGTAATTAAAACACTTTTATACCAACCAAAAAGTCAATAGTAATTTGTAACAGGTCACTTACTAGCCAATCCCGTGTAATTTATGTCTGTTGTGGAAATAAAAATAGATTTTCACTCGTGGATACAGCAGTATTTGTTTTTCATCCATCGGATATTTTGGTCTTTAAGAAGAAGAGAAAAAAAAACAACTAATAACCTTTTTAAGTGCGTTCAAAAACCTGATGTGAGTAAGGGTTAGGGTGCATCTATGAAGTTTAGGGGGAGGCGGGTTGAGCATTTGGCTCAACTGATACTGAACTTTAGTTAACAAGAAAAATGCGCGAAAAGTGCGCAAGGGAATTTTAAAAAAAAAGTTATTCAAAAGCTTTGATAATAAGCGATTACATGTAAAATATAGCACACTTAAACAACATATCATGACATATGACCAAAAGAAGACTAGATATCAGTATACTAATTTTGTATTAGCGCATTTTTTTGGTTTGATTTTTTGGTTGCGCATTTATCTGGTACGCATTTTTCTTATATCCTTTGACGTGTTGTTGCTACGATGACGTCGTGAAAGATTTAAAGGAGCCACTTTCTTGTGGTAACTTTATTTGGTAATTTTGATCGACTTTTACCGAACTACTTTTAAAAATCTATTAATTAATTAATTAATTTATTAGGGCTATTTATCAAGCAGTTGGTGGCTGCCCGGTTGGTGAAAACTAAAATTTTATAATACAATGCAGTGGAAGCTGGACGCGCGTTTCTTTTATTTTTATTTATCGGCTATCACTTGACAGCTAATAATAGATCTAACTGCTGATAGCGAAACTTGGCTTGAAATTCGATTTTTTTAGCAATATAAAAAAAATAAATAAATAAATAAACAAACTTTTTTAAAAAAAGTAGTATATTTTTCGATAAATTTACCATCAATATGATGCCCATTTCACCATTGTTCAATATAAAATTTGTGATAAATTTTCTATAAAATATAAAAACAAACAATAAACTAAACGAGGAAGAATGAATCGAAAGTATGCAATTTTCAGACCAATGTGCAGTTCATATTTGCAAAAACAATGCAAGAACGACCGCAAGTACTAGAAAAATGTAATTAAATAATTTATCTAGAGTTGTAGTGGACGGATGATCATAAATGAGTTGCATTGTTTGGAGTGGGGGAGTGGTTATAAGGTAATTAGATAATATTGGTTTTATAAGGTAAGTGGTTATCGCACGTGAAATACAGGTGTACCAGCTGGTGGTCAGGGAGATGACCGTGTGAGCGTGTGAGCTTGGTGTTGTTGATAAAATCAATAATTACAACTAATTAGGTTAATCGTGTGTATAATGAAGTTGGCGTAGGAGGGCGGGGGAGGTTGGGAGATCTGATATGAAGGGGGTGTATGAGGTGGGTGTAGTTGTGTGGATGTGGTTGTATGGGTGTGGTTGTATGGGTGTGGTTGTGTGGGTGTGGTTGTATGGTTGTGGTTGTATGGGTGTGGTTGTATGGGTGTGGTTGCATGGGTGTGGTTGTATGGGTTTGGTTGTATGGGTGTGGTTGTATGGGTGTGGTTGTATGGGTGTGGTTGTATGGGTGGGGTTGTATGGGTGTGGTTGTATGGGTTTGGTTGTATGGGTGGGGTTGTATGGGTGTGGTTGTATGGGTGAGATTGTATGGGTGGGGTTGTATGGGTGTGGTTGTGTGGATGTGGTTGTGTGGATGTGGTTGTGTGGATGTGGTTGTATGGGTGTGGTTGTATGGGTGGGGTTGTATGGGTGTGGTTGTATGGGTGAGGTTGTATGGGTGGGGTTGTATGGGTGGGGTTGTATGGGTGTGGTTGTATGGGTGAGGTTGTATGGGTGGGGTTGTATGGGTGAGGTTGTATGGGTGGGGTTGTATGGGTGTGGTTGTATGGGTGGGGTTGTATGGGTGGGGTTGTATGGGTGAGGTTGTATGGGTGGGGTTGTATGGGTGGGGTTGTATGGGTGTGGTTGTATGGGTGTGGTTGTATGGGTGTGGTTGTGAGGATGTGGTTGTATGGGTGTGGTTGTATGGGTGTGGTTGTATGGGTGGGGTTGTATGGGTTTGGTTGTATGGGTGTGGTTGTATGGGTGTGGTTGTATGGGTGTGGTTGTATGGGTTTGGTTGTATGGGTGTGGTTGTATGGGTGTGGTTGTATGGGTGTGGTTGTATGGGTGTGGTTGTATGGGTGTGGTTGTGTGGATGTGGTTGTGTGGATGTGGTTGTATGGGTGGGGTTGTATGGGTGAGGTTGTATGGGTGGGGTTGTATGGGTGTGGTTGTATGGGTGTGGTTGTATGGGTGTGGTTGTATGGGTGTGGTTGTATGGGTGTGGTTGTATGGGTGGGGTTGTATGGGTGTGGTTGTATGGGTGGGGTTGTATGGGTGTGGTTGTATGGGTGTGGTTGTATGGGTGTGGTTGTATGGGTGAGGTTGTATGGGTGGGGTTGTATGGGTGTGGTTGTATGGGTGTGGTTGTATGGGTGTGGTTGTATGGGTGTGGTTGTATGGATGTGGTTGTATGGGTGGGGTTGTATGGGTGGGGTTGTATGGGTGGGGTTGTATGGGTGTGGTTGTATGGGTTTGGTTGTATGGGTGGGGTTGTATGGGTGGGGTTGTATGGGTGGGGTTGTATGGGTTTGGTTGCATGGGTGTGGTTGTATGGGTTTGGTTGCATGGGTGTGGTTGAACTGGAGTGGCATGCGTGTGATTGCAGTTTATTTTTTCTTTCTAAAATATTGACTGAACTAGGTTAAAATAGAGTATTTCAATCAATTTTTAAATTACAATTTACAGTTTTCAAAAAAAAAAAAAAAAAAAAAAGTCACACTTTTCGACCCCCCCCCCCCCCCCTCCCACCCTCCCGCGCCTTTAAGTTTGACGACATTTTTGAACGATCCCCAAACCAAAAAAGTCACAAGTTCAAGTTTGAACCACCGGGCAGCAGTGTTTCTTCCAGACTTTTTTTCTCCGGGGGGGGGGGGGGGGCAGACACTGTTAAAAGCAGAGGCGTAGCGAGGGGGGAGGGCGGGGGGGGGGGGGGAAGGGGGGGACGCCGACCTTAGGGGGGGGGCGCCAAATTGAAAGTTTGAGGGGGGGGGGGGGTTGCAAATGAAAAGTTGGAGGGGGGGGGGTGCAAATCGAAAGTTTGAGAGGGGGATGCAAATAAAAAGTTCGAGGGGGGGGTGCAAATCGAAAGTTTGTCCCCGGGCGCCGGGAAGGGTCGCTACGCCTCTGGTTAAAAGTATATATTTTCTATAAAAATTCCATTTTGTTCGGGCTGGGGGGGGGGGGGCGGTAGACTTTCTTTGAGGGTGAGATACCTGGAAGAAAGAATAATACACAAAAATTGACGCTAAATTAAAGTGCGAAAGAATATTGCGAAAATATAATATAAAATAGTATCGAACGCATACAACTATTTGTAATGTGCTCCAACTATTCCTAAAGTATCGACTAAACTGAGAATATAGATTAGATATATCTATATAAAACATAAATACATTTGAATCCTACTAAATTAAAAAAATATGTGCAATTATAAAAACTGAATAATTTTGGTACCTGTGCATTTTATGCCTAACTTTAAATGATTAAAATTTCAGATGTCATTATACAACAATTAGTATCGCCAGCCTTTCTTTAGGCCTATAAAACTCGATTTTAAAATAAGAGCTAATTTTAGCCCTGAAAATTCCCATTGAGAAGTTAATAAATAAAAATGGCGACATCGAAATATTTTGGCAATGATAACAAAAAACGGGATTGTTGATAAGGAGAGGCCTTTCAAAATGTAATTTCTACGCATATGCAACTAAGTTTTTGTCTTACCTTAGAGAACTAGTGCTGGAAAAGGCGAAGTATTAAAGCTTTTTAAAATTGTATTCGGATTTCAGAATAGATTTCACATTTCAGTTTAGTTTAATATTTAAATAATAAACTTTAAGTTTATAACAGTAAACAAAGCAAGTGAGTAAACAGTTTAACAGTTGAGTGCAGTCTAGATCTAGATTCTAGATCTAGATCTAGATTCTAGAGTCTAGTATTCTACAGACTACAGTACAGTAACAGTTGAGTGAGACAGTGCGAGTGTCAGTAGACTGTAGAGTGTAGACAGTAGCTGAGTAGACACTAGACTAGTAGACAGTCAAAGTTGTTTCAGTTGAGTAGTTTGATGATAGTTTGTAAAACTTAAACTTTAAAGTAAAGTTAAACTCATAAACTGGTTAATCGTTAATGGTTAAACTCAAACGAAACTGTAGCCTATCTATAGGGCCTATTTAGTTATTAATATTAAATGCTCCTAAAAATGTGAAATAACTACTAAAATGTTAATGCAGGCCTATCTCTATATTGTTATGAGTTACCTTTCTTTCACATTACTAGCCATTGCGGATATTACGTACCAAAGACGATAAATTACCAATATTATTCATATTAGCATATATTCATAGGCTTAAATAAATATTAAATTTATGAGTTTGTCCTATTTATTTTAGTAATTAGTAATTAGGCCTAGTATATTTATTTAGCCTACATAGTACTAGTACTTAGGCCTAAGTGCTAGGGGTAGGGATATTGTAGGTCTATAATTTATACTATAGTTTCAATTTATTGTGATTTGAAAACCAAAGAAGAGGATGTTATTATTACACCGCATTTACAGTTGCGACATGTATAATATAGGCCTACACATCTAGAAAAACAAAACTTATTAGCAATAAACTTATGGGACAAGTTTTTTTTCCCTTCATGTAGCAAGTCGAAACACAGTGTTACAACTTACAAATACAATATGCTTTTAACTTGATGTAGATATAAACTAAACAATAAACCATGACGTTTGACAAATCATATTGCCTAGTGTTTATTTAAATATGTTAGTGCAATACAAAATTGTAATAGGTTTCTTTTATTTCTAGATAAAACATGAACTCAACACAAAATGGATGTTATTCGAGTCGGCCATGTTAAGTCAGCAACAGCATCAACCCCTGTTGTAAGGATAGTGCACATATCAGATACCCATCTCAACCACAATGCCTTAACACCACCACGTCCAATCAGTGGGAACATTTCTATACGAAGAAGTTTAAGCAGCGACACCCCTAATCAGATTGTAGATGAGAAAGGGGTTGCTGCCTTTGAGAGGCAGTCCAGCTCCCTTTTTGAACAGAACAGCGATGTTTTCCACAAGGGTGGGTTTTTTCTGAGCAACGTGTGCAGTTCCTACTCCAGCGCTTATGAGATTCCTTGCGGTGATATTCTCGTTCATTCCGGTGATTTTGATTGGTCAAAGCATTCCGGGGGCATTTTTAGATCAGACAACTTTGAAGAAATAATACAGTTGATGAATGATTTCTTTGATCGCTTTCCTCACAAAGTGAAGCTCTTTGTTGCTGGAAATCATGAAATTTCATTGGATGGGAAAAAGTTACAAGCTGTTCAATCTCGCCTCATCTCAGCAGTTTATCTATACAATTCTTCATACACTTATGAAGGAATTAATTTTTATGGAGCACCATACACTCCATTCAGGCTTATGACAAATGCCAGGGGTTTTATTTGCACGTCTAGAAAAATCGCAGCACATTGGCGAGACATACCATCGAAAACGGATGTACTCATAACCCACACCCCTCCATATGGAATTCTAGACCTGGCAACTGACTGGACTACCCGTAATATTCCTGGGGTAACAAATGCCTTACACAAGGTTCTCCCCAGCTCTTGTTGTGATGTCTGTGGCGTTGAACACCCAGGACAATCTCATTGGGGCTGTCCACACTTGAAAGATGAAGTGCTCATCAGAATCAAGTAAGTATTTAACCTTCCAGAATGTTTCAGTTACCAAATAATAATAAAAAATGTGCTTTTCTAGGTACTTCTATAAAACCAGTGGGTCCTCAAGTTGTATTGAAGCTTTATAGTTGCAATCCCTGACAACAACTTTGGTAGAAAAAAAAACCCACTCTTGTTAGCGCTATTTCCATACTGACAATTGCGATTATTAATTCGTTATTTCTGGATGGATGAATGGATGGATGTGTGTCTGCAGCTTTAAGTCGTATCTCCTCCTCAACGAAGCAATATCGAGGACTACTTCCAAAAGCAAATATGTTAAGCAAGTTCCGAGGATGATTGTGGGAGAAAAAAATTCCCGGAATTCCTTCCTGGATTTCCCGGAAAAGCCAAAAAACCTCGAAAAAATGCAGTTTTTGGCCCATATCTCGGCAACCAGACCACTTAGCGACTTGAAACATTTACCAATCGATTCCTGCCATAATTTAGAACAATATTGCCGAAGAAAGTTTTCAAAAATATCCTTTCGTTCGGTCGCAAAAAATTTGCTGAATATATGATTTATCTCGATTTAAAATTGTTATGGATAACATAAGGAAATTGCGCTTAATTTGTCACTAGACTTTTTATTAACTTGTTTTAATAAAAACAAAAAAACAACAGTTTGTCTGGTTCAACTTTATTTAAAGCATTATCAATTGGCTTTGTTGTTTAGGCAACCTGTTTAAGCTGGATCCAAATTATTCTTTTACATTACACTTTTATTGAGGGTTGAACCACACATTGCAAAAAAAGATTAATTTGGTGTAGTTGTATGTTCAAATCTTTGAGTTCAAAGTTCTATCCAACTTCACACATTTTTTAGCTTTGGATGTTTTGGATTGTTGACTTAAAATTTAGTAAATAAGTCTGGCTACCTTCGGAAGTAAACTCATACGCTGGTTTGTAACATGATGAAAGTCTTGAGTTAGAATCCGGGTTCAAGTCCCTGAGTCCACCCAGCACAGATGGGTACCTAACTCACGATAGGGAAAGTAAAGGCAACTGGGCTTAGTACTGACCTCATTATCCCTTCATATGCCAGGGTCAAAGAAACAGGTGAACTCTACTTCACTTGGCCTATGGACCATCAGTAAAGTCAGGTACCTTGAGACTTAACCTATTAAAAGCTTGTGCTCATTACAGCAACATAGTTAGTCCTGTTTGAATAAATAATAGTGTTCATCATTGTTTGATTTCTTTTCCATTTCTTTCAGACCTCATCTTCATTTGTTTGGACACGTTCATGAGGCAAATGGTGTTCTCACCAAAAAGGGTGTGACTTTCTCAAACTCAGCATATGCCACATTCAAACGGCCTCATATTTTTGACTTTTATACTAACAAGTGATTTTCTGGAGATTTGTGCTCAGTTAAAACAGTTATTTTTGCTTTGCGCTGTTTCAGTCAGTTTGATACATACATATTTTATATTATTGGTATCTGGAAGTCAACTTGATTTTCAGTTTATAAAATACAAAATATTCATGTAATAAACTTTTACATAAGTTCTTTATGGGTTTTTAAGTAGATTTTTATGGGTAGGTATGTTTCTTTGTTGTTCTTTTGTATTCATTAAATACAAAGATATTATTTGAAATGCTAAATATTTCTTTATTGCAACATTTAAAGTAAATATTAGTATAATACTTATATTTTTATACCTTGAATAACTGCTACTCTTACTGTGCAATTATCTTATTCCCTCCCCTTGGTTGTTATATACAGCCAGATGCCACCTAAAATCACATCACTGCTATCTTAATTAACCATGACTTCTGATAATCAACAGTTTTACATTTGAAGTAAAATAAAAGTTGCATCACATTTTGTAGTTCCCCCTTGAAACATAACAAAATATAAATAAAATCTGAACTCATTTTCTGAGGAACGTTATAATTTTTATTTATAGATGATTACACAGAGTAACAGTAACAGTTTTTTTTTAGTAAAATATCTCATTAGTTCTATATATAGTTAGAAATTTATGCATTATACATTTTGGTGATGTGCTATTAAATCATTTAATACTTAATTTTTAATAGGTGGCATTCTATCAATGTTTTAGGCCAGTAAATATTTTACTTGGACAAATCACATGGTATTAAGCTTTTATTTATATAAAAAAATCTAATTGATTTGTTGGAAAGTTGTACTTCTATTTTTTTATAGTCTATAAATACAGTAATAAAAAAAGCAGCAATTTAATCATTTAATTTTAATACTTAATTGAATAACGAACTGCTGGAATTTTAAGCCTTAATTTTATTGAAAAGATCTTCATGAGAAATACTGACTGATATTATAACCATATTTATAAAGATATTGTTGTATATCTTATTGGATGTTATTATCCGTATCAGGTTGTGGGTGCATAGCTTTTATTCAGCTGCTGGTATATGTAGTTTTTTTATAACTCATTATGACAGTATATTGTATCTGTTTAGTACATTCTACCATGTTGTTTTATGTATTTCACTATTAAATCCAGTGTAACTATGACTGACAAGTAATGTGATATATATCTTTGAAATTTTGATTGCTGTTTCTTGCAATGCCATGTAACAGACTTTCTTTTTTAATGATACTTGTACAAATTTGATACTGTTGTATTTTTTTAGTAATGTATGTTTTTAGCATATTTATAAAAAGAGAATAAATGCTTTTATAATTAACGAATATCTTTATGAATCAAACATATTAGTGTATTAAAAAAAAAGGTGGTTATGCCCTGTTTAGTTATACGCAAACAACTGGTAGCCATTGTAAAATATACAAAATGAATGACAATTTGTTATTATATCGCCTGTGATTTTTATAATAACCCACAGAGTTTTAATAAAATTTGACATGTTGTTTCTATGTAACTTTAGCTAAAGGTATGACGGACACGAAGAGTTGTTTTATATTTAAAAAAAAATTAATAATTATATTTTGATGAGAATTTTAAACATTAAGATTGTAAAGGTATAATGGACATGACTCCTTATAAAAAAGTTGTAATTAAAAATTATATTTTTGATAAAAACACTTTTTTTGTATGATTTACGTTGCTTAAAATAAATCATTTTATAAAATAAATTGGTATAATAAATTTCAAATAATCTCATTATTTAGATTAAGAGTTAAGTAATGTACCTAAGAGTCATCCATAAATGACGTCACGCTTTTTTTGGTGATTTTTACCTCCCCCCCCTCCCCTCCATCACACGTCATCACAAAAAGCCAGACCCCCCCCCCTAAAATGACGTCACATCTCAACCTACAACCCCCTCAAAATTGCAGTTGAATTTTTTTAAAACATCGATATTTTTCCAAAATCTTGTCTAAACTATTACAATTTATTAAAACAGTTATCTAAAGCGTGAAATGACGTCTAAAATTCGTTTTCTAACATTGCTTTTTATAATGCAAAAATGTGACTTCGCAACATCTGAACCCCCCCCCCCCCCTCCCCCTCATCACACATCGTCACAAAATTACGGACCACCCTCCCCCCTACGAGTGTGACGTCATTTATGGATGACCCCTAACTTCATATTTTAATATATTTATTAAATAAACAAAATCAACATATCCTGTAGGTCTGTTATATACCAATACTAAAATGTGTTCAGTCACTTCAATAATACTGACATCTGTTATACATAGCAACCTGCCTATAAATGTAATTTGACAGTCTTAAACTTTAAAGAAAAAATCTTTTATAAATAGAAATGTTTGTAAAGAATATTAATTTATTTGGTCAGATTTTGAAACCTTTAAAATAAACTCAATTACTTATGCAAAAAATTTCTTTAAGGTTTGAAATTTGATCTCTGTTTATTATGGTTAAAAAAATTAGGTTCATTCTGTTTAAAGTTTCACCATTTTCTTACTTCTTTATGTATGGGACTTTTGGTTTGAGTTTGTTTTTTATGTAGCCTACTTAAAACAGGGCTTGCAGCATATTGTAGAGCATGGCACTGATTTATAAATTCTGTATGTTAAGTTGCAGTGGTCATTTTATGTTTAGCTTCATTTTTTAAATTTGTTATTGTAAAAACTGCGTTTAACAAATTTAGATATATATTTTTCTGCTCTTCTAATTTATGAATTTATACACCATTTAAAGTCTAAATCAAGATCAGAACTCAAGACCTTTGGGATAGCAGCCAAACGCTCTTCCATTCGACAACACCGTCCCCTAAATACGCCAAGGGTTATGCATTTATTAATTTATCCAAAGGACTCCGAATCCACCAATTTTCAACCACTGACAGCAAAAAACATTTTCTTACATTTAAGCAGCATTGTTAACGTTTGAGCTGTTGAACTGATGATAAACATTTTTTGTTGTACATTTTCCTTGAAACATTCTCACTTTGTACATTTTGTTTCTATTGTCATACCAAACATTCTCTCTGTTTGATCTCCGCAACCAAGTCGCCAATTTTTACTGAATACAACTTTTTCTTGCTTAAGCTTCTCTAAGTGGTAATCCACGTCCACTCTGTTGTGGTTTCTTTACAAGTGTGGGTGAAAAAAATTGCAAACATGAAAATGACATTTGACTACATCATGACTACATCTGTTAAACAAAATTTTTCCGAGTGTTTGAATGTTTCATGTTTACATTTTAGTTACGGTTTCCCAGAATGTTCATAGTTTTATTGACAAACTCTTTTTTTCTAAGGGGGCTTTTTTTGTAATTTTAATTTTATTTTGAACTTTTTTCTATTGTTTAAAAGAAAATTTTAAATGCTGTAAAGTATGACATTGTTGCAAAATGTGTGCACCAGACAAGATGCGTTGGCAAAGAAAAAGGTTGAGACTCACAAAAGATTTCTAGACCCACCCGGATTCTACTCATCTCAGTGGATTTAATTTTGTAAGGGGGCTTTTTTTCTGTTGTATCAAAAGATAAAAGTTATGTATGTTATTGCTTTGGTGCAAAATGTGTTCTTCTTTGTTCTTAATTTTAGTGTGGGAAGGGATCCCCTCCAACACAATTCAGTATACGTGTCAACTGGTTATGCGCCATTGAGGCCATTGACTCTTGATTTCAGCCTGCTTTTCTTTTTGGATTTGCTTCCATAGCCTTTGTCCAACCAAGAACAAACTACAAGGCAGCAGTTGTTTGATTTTGGAGTTGTTTCTCCTAGAAGAGTGGCTGTCCCCAGCTAACGAGCCTCATCTGCCCGAGGGTTTGAACTCGAGACTTTTCGGTTTAGCAAACATGAGCTTTACCGACTCGACCACGCCTACCCCCCCCCCCCCCCCCCTAAGGAAGCTAAAACCTAGACACACCTGGATTCCACCAATCTTCCTGGAGTTTCAGTTTTGTAAAGTAATGTTGATTTGTAAAAAATGAAAATTCTCTTTTGAATAAGGCAGTCCATGGGCCAAGGTCACCTGTTTCTGCGACATTACTTTTTTTAGCATTACCTTTTTTTTTAAATGCAAAAGGATGTGGTCACTGTCTGTAACCACCACCCTTCCCCACCCACTGTTACACTTCATCACAAAAGTCTGAACCCCCTTGTCCCTAGTAGTGTGATGTCGTTTATGGACAACCCCCTCCATCCAACCTTCTCATGAGGGTATATTTGCATAAGGACATGTTCATTCCATTATATAAGCTGCAGCACATGACTGGTCGTGTGGTCAGCTTCAAGGATTTCTTACGCTCAACTCTTTGGTCACTCTGTCGCTGTCAAACTATTTTTTTTTGCTGAAATGATTATACATGATAACAAGTTAACCCCCCACCCTCTCTCTCCATCCACACACAGGTTTTGTAACAAAAACATGTTAAATAAATATTAAGAATGTTCATGCTTTGATACAAGTTTTCAGAAAATATAAGCAATTTGTTTTCCTTTATATTTTGTAATGTTGGCAGTGATTATAGTAGTTAGCAGCAATTCTAATAATTTCCAGCTTTGTTTTTTTTTTTTTTAAATTTTCATTCCAATGTACTTCGTTTGTTTGAGAATGCACAAAGTCAGTCCACATTTCAAATATTACAATTGTATTAACTGCTTGAATTTTCATTTTGTCTAAAATTTTCATTTTTTCTAAAATTTGCAAAGTATAACAATATTTTAATGAATATGAGTTGAATTTTTCTTAAGTGAATTGGACTGTACAATAATGCTGGTTTAAGATTTTTGAACAATTAGAACATAGTATGTTCAAGCACAATTTTAGAAATAGGTCTTCAGAGTTATTTTATGTATTGAATCAAAGGGAAGTATTTTCAGTTTATCTTAGCACACATTGTTGATAAAAATGTTCAATATTTTTAGATTTCAGATGTTCATATTCAAGTTTAAAAAGCTAACTTAAAAATAATTTTAGTTTCTAAAATGTTAATGTCCACTAGATAATACTTAAGTGCTAGGACTAGCTACTATTTTTATTAATGATAATTGAGTTGTACAATTTTTTTTTTCATTGAAAAGGAATCTAACTAGATCTGTCTTTCTAAACATTGTTTTTTAATATGCTATTATATAAAGTTTATATAGGCCTACCTCATAGGCTTAAAATATAAACATTGACTAATGCTATTATATGTAACATCAAGCTTTGGTTAATTTAAGTACCCAGACAATAAACTTTTTTATATGAAGAGTTTGTAGTCCATTTCTGTAGTCTACTGTTTATTATTAAAATAACGTCTTGTTTGTTTGTATACATGTAATATCTACTAATTTAAAAATGTATGTTTATGTCAGTGGTTTTTTTACCTGGGTTCAGTCAAACCCTAAGG